CATGTTTAGTTTGTCTTTGGATCAGGGTGAGAGCAAATAAAACTTTACTGGTACAAGAGCCAGCTTCAGCCTCCAGAAGGGATGGGGCCTCGGGCAGATGGGATGCTGCTTTTGGCCAGCCTCCCCAGCCAGCCCAGGCCCTTTTAAGACACTGGTCCCATTAACCCAGGTTGAGAACCCCTGTTCTAGAACATCATTATAATACATCTATCACTTGCAAACTTCACATACATGTGTAGGGACATACATTTTATAATGAAAATATTTTAAAACAGTGATTTTTTAGCCTATTGCTTATATTATCTCTATTTATATATAAAAAAGTTTTTCCTGCCAGGTGACTGAATGATGTCATCATGTCATTAACGTCAACAACCTCTCTCAGCAAAGCGAAAGTGGCAAGAGAGGGGGTAGGTGAGTGTAGCCACCTACTCTTTATGTAATAATGTAGATAAGTGTCTAGAAAAAGCTTTCCCTATGCCAAAGATGAAATTCAGTTCTCCCCCATCCAAACTCATATCCAACTCCTTTAGCAATTTGTGAAATAACTCAAAATTAATTTTAGTGCTAAAAAAAAAAAAATCCACTTCCACTTCAGAAGAGGGAAATAAATGCACAGCCACCTACTGCAAAATGTAAGTAACTAAAATTAAATGAAACTGCTTACCCTGAGACTAACATCTGCCCATCATAAGAAAAAGCACAAGCCAGCACCGGAGCAGTGTGCCCATTCAACGTGCATTCATATTTTAATTCACAACCTACAAATCAAAAAAAGTAGAACATAATTTTTCTAAGCTCTTTAACTAACCATTTTCCTTTTAAAAACAGGTGTAGATTCATTATTTTAAAAGGACTGAAAATATGAGAGCTTGATACAGTGTAATCAAGTGAGGAAAGCTGTCAATTAAAAAAAAGGGGGGGGGGGGGGGGAAGACAGCAACCTCCAACCACATCTTTCGGTTCTTGAAGTCACATAACACCTGCTAGCAACCCAGTACCAGTTTGAGAAAAGCTGCTCTAGTTATTTACAGATAGCATGAAGACAATTAAAATAGTGCACATTAAAGAAGTTTGCCCTTTTAAAATAAATTGCATTCTAAATATTCTATGATTTTGAGTAGTGTGTCAGGCAGCTGTAGTAATATGATAAAATTGCTCCTAAATACCAAGAAGGGATCAGCACTGACTAGGTAGCAAATTTGTTTTAAATACTGTATACAACTACTCTTCTGTACGTTAAAACTCATGGACCAAAATTCACCACTAGTGTTAGAATAGGTAAATTCAATAACACAAGTAGGAGCAATGGTCAAGGATTTCATAACGTGCACAAAGGGTTAATATATAAGCTGTTGTTATGGCTCTACTCTGCTGAGAATTCCCAGATAAACTGTCTTTGTGGCAGTTTTGTGCCATCAAAACATGGATGTAGCTTTGTACCATAATGCATGCACAGGATTGCATGTGCAACCTCAACATTGGTTATTTCCTCACTTCTGATTCTTCACTATGAAATCTTAACATTCTTTTATATATGTTTTTGTATGGAATATATAATTATACAGCCAAATATCTACATATGCATATCGACCAGCTATATATAGAACCCTGTGACGGGGAGGCCGATCCCCGCACTCAGCCCGGCTGGCCGGCGGGTGCCGGCAGCGGGGAAGGGCCGTGGGATGGGGAGGCCGATCCCCGCACTCAGCCCAGCTGGCTGGCGGGTGCCGGCAGTGGGGAAGGGCCGGAAGCGGCCACAGCGGGCACCCGGGAGACCGCGGGCGGCCTTCCAGGAGCTGCCCGGAGTGAGAGTGCCACCGGCGCCGCAGACGGCCGCAAGCTGACTGCCTGCGCAGCCGCAGACAGCCAGGAGACCAGGCGGGTGGGCACTAGGGCCCAGGAGGCACTCTCTGACGGAGGGGACGTAGGAGGGTGGGACGCTGCCCAGGACGCCCAAAAGGCGAACGCGGGAGTCAGGGAGGGGGGAAAGAGCGGGGGCTGGCTGTGCTCTCAAACCCCACAGGTGGAAGCGAGGCGCTTGGAGGAGGGACGGCTCCACGGGCTTCGGCCCACCAAGGCGAAGCCGCGGACACCAGTGGGAAGGGCGGAAGGGACAGGCGGAGCCGTGCGGCAACCGGCGCCCGACCCGGATGAGCCCGGAGCGGGCTGCTAAGAAGCCAAGGAGCCCCAGGGACGCTGGCGGCGTGACCGGCGACCGGAGGACAGCTAGAGTGAGCCGGGGACTGATAGGGAGAGACTGAGAAAGTGGGGGAGCTGGAGGGCTGGGCTGGGCTGGACTAACCCCCGCCCCCCGCTACAAACCCATATAAAGAAAAGAGGGGGGAAGCATCCTCCCCCATTGAGAATGGTTTTGGAGCCCTCAGTCCTACTTTTACTGTGACTTAAATCACAAAGTCACCCTTCCCACTGCAAACACATTTGTTGCAGTTTTAGCAGAGGTCAAGGATTTACTGTGCAAATGAATATGAAGATTGAACTACCTTCCCTACTAGCTACAGTCAATGTTAGTTTAGGACTTAAGTACTTAATACCATCACTGACTGCACTGTACCTCTTCTGGAAGGATAAAGAGAGGACTCTGGTCTCTAGCATGGTAACCTAGCACGGCAACCTAGCACCTTTCAACAGTTCTACACTTAAAAAAGTATTGGTACCTTCCAATAAATAAAAATATATTCTTGTATAATAAAATGTGTAGCATAATAATGTACCAACTAGTCCATGGATATAACATGTTGCAACTGCTTACAATACTTTAGGTAACAACTTTAATAAAAAAGTTTTAAAAGGCTTGACCCTGCACGGAACTGAGTCTGCAGAGACCACCCCAACAAAGCACTTAAGCAGTACAAGCATGTGATTAGTCTTACTAACTTTGAACCTATAAGCTTCAGCTACATATGAGCTCATTAGCATTAAATGGTAATTAAATAGTTATTAACTTTGAGTAAAAAGAGAATTAGTGCTATACGTACCTAAGAAATCAACAAACGAAATAAGCCAAAGCTTGATCTGGTTATCTTGACCACAAGATGCCATTCGGAAGTATCTGGAACCTTGTTCTCCATCTGATAAAATGAAAATGTTTTAAAGTTTTAATCAGAAGCACTAAAAAGAATGTGACAGACCAGCTTCCACATTCCTAGTATCTTTTAAAAGTGCGGATGAAAATAATTCTATATAAATTACTATTATGATTTTGCAATCAAGGTAAACCATATAGCAGATAACATATTCAAGTGTTGTTTCATGAATACTACACGTGGAAGAAACCCAACATTGAGCAGTTATGACAAGAATGAGATAGAAGTCAAAGCTAAATATGTACCACCAATCATACAAGATAATTTCTTCCTGAAGGCACCCCTCTCCAACTCCCATGCTACAGTGCAGAAAAGATTCTGCTTGTTATTTAAAGTTTTTAAAAACTCTGTATTCTTGTCATAACACCACAAAAAACAGTGGCTTTGATGTGGATTTGGACTGATTTTTTTTGCAAAGAATGTAACAGCCCGATAGAAAAAAAATGGGTACTTGCCTCATAACAATTGTTCTTTGAGATGTGTTGCTCATGTCCTTTCCATGTAAGTGTGTGCACGCCGCATGCATGGATTGCTGGAGAGTTTCCCTTAGTGGTACCCGTCAGGACAGCAGGGGAGCCACCTGGAGTGGGGCCGTTATAGCAGCACATATATACTGTTGGCCCTCCACCTCCTCAGTTCCTTCTTGCTGGAACACTCCAGCGTAGAGGAGATGGGGGGGTAGGATTTGGAATGGACATGAGGACATCTTGAAGAAAAATAGTTACGAGATGTAAGTAACTGTTTTTTCTTCTTCGAGTGATTGCTCATGTCCATTCCATGTTGGTAACTCCAAAGTCATGGAGGCAGGGTTGGAGAATACAGAGAAACAGACTAAAACACTGCTCTGTCAATCACTGCACCATCCCTAGCCTGTTGCGCTATGGCACAGTGACTTGTGAAAGTATGCACTGAAGACCAGGTGGCTGCCTTGCAGATCTTCACAATAGGCACCTGGGTCACTAAAACATCAGATGAAGCTTGGGCCCTAGTGAAGTGGGCTGTAATAGGAAGGGCAGGAACATGCACCAGCTTGTAACACAGCCTGATGCAGGAGGTGATCCAGTATGATATACACTGAGCTGACACTGGCAAACCCTTCATCCTGTCAGCTATGGACACAAATAACTGGGGGGCCTTATGAAATGGTTTTCTCCTATCCAAATAAAAAGCCAAAGCTTGCCTATCGTCTAAGATGTGTAGAGCTTGCTCTGTTCCAGATCCATGAGGTTTTTGGGTAGAATACGGGTAAAAATATATCCTGGTTGACATGGAAATGAGACACCACCTTAGGCAAAAAGTCTGACCTTGTCCTTAAGGAAGACTGTATATGGAGGAGTGGGGGTGTACAGGGAAGGCCCACAATACCAAAACCCACTTAGCAGAAGTAATGGCCACAAGGAACGACATCTTCCAGGACTGGTGCAACAGTGAACACGTCGCTAATGGCTCAAAAGTGGAAGCCATTAATTTATTGAGTACCAGGTTAAAGTCCGGGGGGGAAGAGGCAGACACACCTGAGGATATACCCTGTTCAACCTCTTAAGGAAGCAGCATACCACAGGATCTGCAAAGACAGACTTACCCCGGGACTCTCAGTGAAAAGTCAAAATGGTGGCCAGGTGCACCCTGACCAAGGAAGGGGCAAGGTTTTAAGATGCAGAAGGTAATCTAAAATAGCAGGGACAGGGCTAACAGTGGGCTATGGTGGTGGGAGACAAACGGAGCCTCAGAATGGCCTCCTTTATTGCTAGGATGCAGGCTGTAGACAGGAATTCTTTGGCCACTGTTGTGTCAAGGCAAACCCCCACAAATTCTATCCTTTGGGTGGGGGTCAGGGTGGATTTGGCCTCGTTTAGGATGAAGCGTAACCTGAGGAAAGACTTCTTAACTAGGGATATGTGATCTAAAACATGGGAAGGAGAAGTTGTCTAGATACGGGTACACATGAACCCATCTTTTCCACAGAAACACAGCCATAACTGCCATAAATTGTGAACACCATGGGGATGTAGAAAGGCCAAAGGGGAGAGCCATAAACTGATAATGATCCTGACCTACTGTGAACCAAAGGAAGTGCCTGTGAGGGTCTGCAACAGAGATGTGGAAATAGACATCTTTGAGATTGACGACAATGTACCAATCTCCCATGGCTAGAGAAGGGATGACAGACCCAGCGTTACCATCTTGAACTTTGACTTTACTATGAAGACATTTAGGCTCCTTAGGTCCAAGACAGGATGAAACCTGCCTTTGGGACCAAGAAGCAGTGGAAGTAGAACCCCTTACCCCTGTGGCCCACCAGGACCTCTTCCACAGCTCTGCAATTGAGGAGCTGTTGCATCTCCAACTTTAAAAGATGCTCATGAGAGGGGTCGCTGAAGGAGGATGGGGTAGGATGATGGGAAGGGGGGCAGGAGCAGAATGGGATGGAGTGTCTGCTTCGCACCTTGCCTAGGACCCAGAAGTCTATCATGATAGCCAACCTGGCATGGTGGAAGGGGATAGCCAATTGGTGAAAGGCCATTTAACTGTGGCTGGTAAGCTGTCCCTGTGCGAACCTTCAAAGGCTCAACCTGGGATCCTGAAGCTTATTAAAGGGGCCTGAACCACAGTCAGAGGAGGAATGGGACTGCTGTCTTCTGTTCCTGTTGTTGTTACACCCTTTGCATCTAGAAAAATCCACCCTGTTGCTCTGCTGGAATGGGTGAGAAGGGGCCTTACGGAAGGAACATCTCTGTGGAGTCAAAGCGTGGATTCCTAGGGACTTAGAGGTTGCCCTAGAGTCCTTCAACCCATGGAAGCTGGTGTCAGTGCACTCAGAGAAGAGGCCCATGGCCTTGAATGGCAGCTCCTGGGTAGTGGTCTGGAATGCCTACTGGAATGCCAGAAATCTGGTGGAATGCCAGAAATTTGGAGCTAAGTGTTCCACCTCAAGACCAGCCCAGTCGCCATGGCATGAGCCGCCGCAACTGCAGCATCCAGAAGCGCTGCTCAGGACATGACCTTGCCCATCTCAGACGGGGCCTTGCACAGCTGCCTGGAGTCCTGGCGCAACAGCTCTTCAAATTTATCTATCACTGACCAGGATTGAAGGTGTACCTGCTCAGGAGCACCTGTTGATTGGCAATCAGGAGCAGGAGTCCCTCTGAAGCATAAGCCTTGCTACCCAAAAGGTTTGATTTTTTGGCCTCCTTATTTTTAGGTGTAGGAGTGAGCTGACCCTAAGCATTCATAGTGTTTGGCAGATTTGCTGCACTGACTGGCCTGAGGCACTGTGGTGGCATGAGCAGTGCCCAGAGCGGAAACAATGTTGGCAATGGAAACCAAAATGGAATCAGATTGATGGCACTTAATAGGTACGTTCTAGTAAGGAGGAGAGGATGGAAGATGATAATATATGGGTAAGATCAGATGAGAAACAGTCAAATGAAAAAGTGCACCATTCAAACACATCAGGAAATGGCAGACAGCTGAATAGTAACAAATGTTTAAAGTGCTTATGACAAATGCTAGAAGTCTAAAAAATAAGATGGGTGAACTAGAGTGCCTCGTATTTAAGGAGGATATTGATATAATAAGCATCACAGAAACGTGGTGAAATGAGGACAATCAATGGGACACAGACATACCAGGGTACAAAATATATTGGAAGGACAGAACAGATCATGCTGGTGGGGGAGTGGCACTACATGTGACAGAAAATGTAGAATCAAATGAAGTAAAAATCTTAAATGGACCAAAATGTTCCATAGAATCTCTATGGATAGTAATTCCATGCTCTAAGAATAAGAATATAGCAGTAGGGATATATTACTAACCCTCTGACTAGGATAGTAATTGTGACTATGAAATGCTACTGGAGATAAGAGAGGCTATAAAAATACAAAACTCAATAATAGTGGGGCATTGCAACTATCCCCATATTGACTGGATACACATCTCAGGATGGAATAAAGTTTCTTGACACCTTAACTGACTGCCTCCTGGAGCAGCTAGTTTTGGAGAGGAAATTCTTGATTTAGTCCTAAGTGGAGCATGGCATTTGGATCAAGAGGATTTGGTTCAAGAGGTAAATAAAATATAACTGGACTGCTTGGAAATAGTGACCAGAATGTAATAACATTTAATATCCCTGTGGCAGGAAAAACACCTCAGCACCCCAATACTGTGGCATTTAATTTCAGAAAGGTGAACTACACAAAAATGAGGTTAGCTAAACAGAAATTAAAGGGTACATTGCCAAAGTAAAATCCTTGCAAGCTGCATGGAGATTTTTCAAAGACACTGTAACAGAGGCCCAACAGAACTGTATACTCCAAATTAAAAAAACACAGTAAAAGAACCAAAAAAGTGCCACTGTGGCTTAACAAGTAAGTAAAAGAAGCAGTGAGAAATAAAAAGGCATCATTTAAAAAGTGGAAGTTAAATCCTAGTATGGAAAACAGAAAGAAGCATAAACTCTGTCAAAGTGTAAAAATACAATAAGGAAAACCAAAAAGGAGTTTGAAGAACAGCTAGCCACAAACTCAAAAATAACAAAATGTTTTTTAAGTACATCAGAAGCAGGAAGCCTGCTAAAGAACCAGTGGAGCCACTGGATGATTGAAATGCTAAAGAAACACTCAAAGACAACAAGATCATTGCGGAGAAACAAAATGAATTATTTGCTTCAGTCTTCATAGCTGAGGATGTTAGGAAGATTCCCAAACCTGAGCCATTCTTTTTACGTGACAAACCTGAGGAATTGTCCCAAACTGAGGTGTCAGTATAGGTGGTTTTGGAACAAACTGATTAACTTAACTGTAACAAGTCACCAGGACCAGATGGCATTCACCCAAGAGTTCAGAAAGAACTCAAATGTGAAAGTGCAGAACTATTAACTGTGATTTATAACCCATACTTTAAACCAGCTTCTGTACCTAATGACTAGAAGATAGCTAATGTGATGCCAATAAAAAGGCTTTAGAGGTGATCCTGGCAATTAT